ATCCATTGAAAATAATGTCTCGGTTTATTAATATTTTCTGCAATATGAAGCAATTTTGCATTGTGTCTTGGAGGTTTAGGTCCCCCATGCATATGTTCCTATGGGAAACTCTGTTTCAGTTTGCGATTTTTTTGCATTGTGAAATGTCCCGGAGAACGGATTAATTTTGTAAACTGAAGTACCACTGTATGCCTCATTTCTCCCAATAAGGAAGCCAAAATGGCTCACAACATTAAAATTCACACAATTTAAAAATATAAGTATTAAAAGATCAATTATGATTTAAAATACAATTAAAAGAAAACATGAAAGCAAAAAAGATTTAAATTATTTGCTGAAATGGGGTTCAGGGATTCAGTTGTAATTGTTAAAAGTCTGCCTGAAGAGATGGGTCTTTAGCTTTTTTCGGAAGGATAACAGGGAAGGGGCCATCCTGATCTCCCGAGGGAGAGCGATCCATAGCCTGGGAACTGCGACCAAGAAGGCCTTCTTCCCGTGTCCCCATCAGCTGTGCTTGTGCTCGCAATGGGACCAAGAGAAGGGTCTCCTCTGCTGATCTGAATCGCCAAAAAGGTGCATATAGGAAGATACTGTCCGGTCCTTCAGGTAGCCTGGACCCAAGCTGTATAGGGCTGTATAGGTAATGACCAGCACTTTGCACTGGAAACTTTCTCAAATGCCTGTCTTTTCTCATCTTTCTTTTTCCTCTCATCCTCCTCTACTACTGCACTAAACCACACAACACCCTCTCTCTCCTTCTCCTTGCCTCCAACTGTCACTTCTGGCTCCTCCCACTCCCCTTCAGCCAAGCACACTTCCACCTTTACCTCCCCTTCTCTCTCTGTTAACCCTTTCCTCTCTTCTTTATTACTTTCACTGCTATCCAGCTGTTCTTTCTTTCCATCCTCTTTTTCCTCTGTCTTCTCTGCGGACGGCACACTCTCTCTTTCTACACCTTCACACCAAACCAAATAAAAAAACTCCAACAACAACAACAACAAAACAGAGAGGGTCAAATAGTGAGTAAAAACAACAATTGTAAAATAGTGGCACAGTAATAATTTGGAGAATCAGCAAGAGTGAAATATCAGGATCTGTGCTTTAGTGAGCTTTTTGGGTCCTTGACCTAGAAATACTTAAATATCTTTTCTTTAAATACTGAAAATATTGACCATATCTAAATAAAACAGTGACAGCAATTCTTGAACTGCCAGCTTTCCATCTTTTGGTATCCTTGAATCTGTAGTTTTGTGAGGGCTTCAGATTCTTTGCTGCCCCAATAACCTCTCGTGAATGACAGCAGATAATTGTAAATGCCCCATCAAACTGTAGATCCCAGCAGTTCCAAAAAATGGAACTGTTAAAGAAAGTGGTATTAGAATCGCTGCGACTGCGTAGTCTAGACCCGCTCATTGTTTTCATATCCCACTAGAAAAAAATTGCACCACCACTAAAATGTCTGAGGGAATTTGTGTCCCATCCTGATTAATGCTAAACATCTGTTTTGAAACAAGATCAGTCTAAAATGTTCCAGATCCTGGGGAATTAACTCTCCTAAACTGTGAATGTTAGAGAAACTCTCAGTGTTGTAATGTCATGGCCATTTAAATTGTTGTTGCTTCCTAAAAAAGCTTCATTGTGTCTAAAGTGGTTTCACAGATCTTAAATATAGATGGGCACAAACCACCAGTTTGTTCTTTAGCCAAACAGGTGTTCAACACTTCCCAACCCTACCACCTTCCAGCAGGTGCTCTCTCAGAGCAGTGGCCAGAGGAAGCGGGATGGAGAAACCAGGGCACTGCCTCTGAGTGGGCGGCCCCCTGGAGGAGGCGGGGCTGGGAACCGCCGAACGACTGTTTGACTGATAAACGAACTGCGAAACCAGTGGCTCGTGCCCGTTTCTATTCTTAAACCATTGGTGATGTGTGTGTGGTCTTTCTTTCTTTTTTGCAGACTATGAATGAAGCTTCTTCCTTGCTCAGTGCCACCTGTGACACATTTATCACTACACTTGAAGAATGTGTGAAAATAGCTAATGCCAAGTTTAAGCCAGAGATGTTCCAGTTGCCTCATCCCGATCCCTTAGTCTCACCTGTGTCACCCTCACCTGTGCAAATGGTTGGACGTTCTTTAACATCACACTTTGCTGAGGGTGTGAGGAGGTTTGGGAGGGATTGGTGGAATGTGATCAAGTGCGCAGGTTCTTCACATGTGCTGTAGGAAGCTTTTTCAAGTCAAGGAGCTGAGCCTCTCCCAAGAATAACTAAGGCTGCAACCCACATGTTGTGCTTTAAATGTACATGTATGGAAATACAGGATGGCATGTACCAGCGGGTAGGAAATGTGGATATCTTTGGAGTTTACTTTAGTGCCCAATAAAGTCGGATTCATTTGTGAGCAAAATATATTTATTATTTATTAATTTTAAAGGATATTTTCCTCTTCCAGAGGAGGGCACAGTGGTGTGTGTTGGTTCATCCCACTCTGACCCTCATAGCCACTCCGTGTTATAAATGGGGCTGAGGGCTCCAGTCATCTAAAGGGCTTCATGGCTGAGTGGAGTTTAAATTCCGATCTTATTGGCCCTGTAAGAACATGCTTAGCATGGAGCCAGTCCATTTATTAGAAAAGGATAGGAACTGGGCGTTCTTTGTAACAGGGGTGCAAATTTTGGCTTATTTTGTTCTCACAAAAATATTAAAACATTCCCCCCCCCCCTTGAGCAAGGTTACAACAACTTTTGTGCATATTTTCCAGCACTTTTATTTATTTATTTATTTTTACAAAAAAAAAGTAGAAGTGTGCTTTTTGGGCAAAGGCTCTTGGTATTTTCCACAAAAATGTATGTCATGCAAAATACAAAATTTTGAATACAAAAATACTAAACGCGTATGTCATGCAAAATACAAAATTTTGAATCTGAAAATACTAAACACTCTTTTTGTGTTTTTTTTTGGGGGGAGGTTGCCAATACGTCTACCACAGAAAGGCTCTGAGGTTTCCGTTCTTGTCCAGGAGGGGGAAAAACCTTGCAGTGAGTGGCAAGGTTTGTTGTCAGGATATCTTGGCTTTTTTTAATGGGCAAGAAGCCCTCAGAGGCAGGGTTCTAGGGAAGCCCTAGAGAATCAACAATTCACTCTGCAAGATAGGTATTCCGCAGAATGTTGATATTCTCACTGTATTACCCACCATTTTGTAAAGAGTTGCATAGCACTTTTTACCACACGGATCAGATGCAAGGCACATGAGACCAGAGCTTAACCCAGCAAAGAAGGAACGGGATATGGGGAACAGTATTGTGCATGTGTAGATTGAGATAACTTTCCCTTGGTCATATTGCAACTTAAGGTCAGTGGGTTGGATCCAGACTTTTTTCTCTAGTAACATCCTTCTAGCAGAGGTGCAGACGCTGTTGGGGATGGAATAGGATGGGGTGGCTTTTTCCATTTCCTCCATCCTGTTGTAGCCCCCTTGCACCCTATAACATTCTGCTTTGGAAAGCCTGGAATAGTGTGGTAGGTGACACTGAAGACTGCAGAGGTGGTGGTGGGGGAATCAGCAAAAGCTGTCTCCCCACACTGTCTGCAAGCAACATTCTTCTGCTACGTTGAGAAGCCTTCTGTGGAGAGCCCGTCTTCACAAACAGCCAAGATTGGATCTCACCCAGTGGCTCCGATTTGCCCTTCAGAATGTTGTGGGACTGTCAGTCTCAGCATTTTTCCTGAAAATTGTGGCTGTGGCCATGAGGGCTGATGGGAATTGTAATCCAACAACATCTGGAGGGCCACCAAGTGACCACCCCCTATAATTATTTTAGACAGCAGTGTTCGTTATGAGGATATACAGCTTTAATGTCTTCTTCCCTCTGCTAAGTTGACTGCTAAAACCAATTGTCATCAGACTAGAATAAAATGTGATTAATTTAGAATAATATATTTGTGTCTAGATAACAGTCTTCAGGGGTGTGCGTGAATGTGTGAGTTCTCCATCCCACAATTATATTCTGCAAAAATTACAGAGTTTTTAAAATCGAGTTGTTTGACAGATGCACAGATATAACTGACAACAGTTTTATGAAGTATACACTAACTTGCATTATTTCTTGAATTATTATTTAGATGAAACGCTCTGTTAGCCACCCAGGTACTTGTAATCCTGAGAGGTAAGTATAAATCGAGATTATGCCCTTTGGTCCCCATTGAGTGTGATTTTGTGGGAAAATGCGTCTCTGTACAATATAATTAAAAGTGTGTGCTGTTTTGAATTACCTGTTACCTTTCTACTTGTAATACGAACACTTAAGAATTAAGAATAAGAACAAGAATTAGGAACATTTGACCCTCCAAAATGTTTAGGGCTACAGCTTCCTCAGACATTTTTCATTGTTTTGACGGGGCCTTTTGTGTTTTGAAGACTAAAACACCCAGAGGGCTAACCCTGCATCCCTGTATTTAAGGAAGAACAGTTAATGATCCTTTTTACACTTTTACACAATAATAAGACACAATCCGTCCACTATTCAGTGTGTGAGCAAACTCTGCTCTGTTGACTGAACTCCTCCTGTGTAGCTCTGCACAAAGGCCTAAATCCAATAACACACTAGTGGATGTATGCTATCATAATAGGATTTTCTCTCTCTCT